CCGTCGTCGCCGCCACAGCAGCCGTCGCCGCCGGTTTCCGCTCTCCGCCTGCTCGGCCTTCCCTCCCCGGACCGCGCGCCGGTGTCTCCCCCACCGCCTCCTGACCTCCCTGTCTACGGTCCTGTGTTCCCGCCGCCAGACTCGTCTCCGGCCCGTCTTCCTCCTCGTTCCCCTCCTGTGTCTCCTCCGCTGTCCCCTGACCCTACCCCTCCGTCTCACGTTTGGGCTCGCCGTCCCTCCCGTGCTCGTCCCGTCTCTCCTGTCCTGCCCACCCACCCTATGTTGCTCCGTTCCCACTCGTCTCGTCCTCCCCTCCTCCCGTCCCCTCCTCCCTCGTCCCTTGCTGTTGCACCTCCTCCGTTCTCTGACTACCTCCGTGCTGCTCGTCCCCTTGTCCCTCGGGTCCTTGCCTCTCTTGTTACCGACCCTGCTGTTCCTGTCTCGCGCCTTGACGCGCTTGTCGCTGCTGTCGCTGACTTCGCTTCTACCCGCCGCCTTGACTACGCTACCGCTCTGGTCTCTGACCCTGCCCGTCCTCTGTCCGTCAGGGGTGCTCCTGCCCTTGGCAGTGACGTCCTAGAGGACAGGCAGTACGAGCTGGCTTTCCTTTCCGAGGCTGCTCCCCATCTCTGCTCCATGCTGTTAGTCCCTGAGGGTGACCCAGACGCCTTCGACATCCCGACCCCTCGCACCTACGCTGAGGCCACCTCGGGACCTTGGGCCTCTCAGTGGATAGCTGCCATGGAGCAGGAGATGGCATCCTGGAGATCCACCGGCACTTACGTCGACGCAGTTCCCCCGCCTGGGGTGAACGTAGTCGATGGTCGGTGGCTCTTCAAGGTGAAGCGCCCCCCTGGAGAGCCGCCTGTCTTCAAGGCGCGCTACGTGGCCAGAGGTTTCAGTCAGCGCGAGGGGGTTGACTTCTTCCAGACCTTCGCCCCGACCCCGAAGATGACCACTCTTCGGGCGCTGCTACACGTAGCAGCACAGCGTGACTACGAGCTTCACTCTCTCGACTTCTCTACTGCCTTTCTTCAGGGCAGCCTACACGAGCAGGTCTACCTGCGCCGACCACAGGGCTTCACTGGTACCTTCCCCCCTGGGACCCAGTGGCTTCTCAGGCGCCCGGTCTACGGCCTGCGTCAGGCTCCCCGCGAGTGGCACGACACGCTACAGTGGCGGATTAAATTGCCCGGATGTTTAACACTTTGAAACGTATCGTTATGCAACACATGTTTCGAAAATAGTAACACCCGTTTTTTTCCATTCTGTTACTCGGTTTTTGAGTTCTGCTTCATCCGTTTCTTGCTTGGCGCGATTGTGACACTAACGGAAAGTGGGGTTGAAATTTACTACTCGACTGTCGATGTGGACATTTCCTACCGAGCGGAAGAGTAGATCTATTTTCCCCCGTCGCTCAGTGTGTACATCGTCACGCGCACCAGTTCCTAGCTTAGTTGTTAGTCCGGAAGCGAGCCTACGACCGCATCGCTATGAAGCCGTTAAATGAGAAGAAGCGCGCGAGGATCAGAAGCATGTTGCGTGCGGGGCATTCGACTAGGAAAATAGGGAAACTTCTTGGCATAGGCAAGAGCACCGTGCACGATTACGGTATGAAACTCGCTGAGGAGACTAGTCGCGAGGAGGTGCGACCTACGATGCCTTCGGCCGGCCGCCCCCGCTTAATCACAACCCGTCTCCAGCGCGGAGTTATACGTGCGATTACTAGCGGCGAGGCGAAAAGCTCTTCAGACGCGGCCAAGATGTTGTTGGAGAAGCACGATCTCGCCGTAGACTCGAAGACGGTCCGCAACTCTTTACGATCCGCGGGGCTGATCGCCGTGCATCAGCCCAAGAAACCCAGGCTCTCACCGAAAAACATCCGCGATCGTCTCGACTTCGCGCGGGCGCATGCCGACTGGACGCTGGAGGACTGGAAGCGGGTGATTTGGTCTGACGAGACGAAGATTAACCGCTACTGCTCCGACGGACGTGCGTACGCCTGGATTCGCGAGGGCACCAGCCTTCGGAGCCACCAAGTCCAACAGACAGTTAAGCATGGGGGCGGTTCTGTGATGGTGTGGGGTTGCATGACGTATGAGGGGGCGGGGTTCATGTGCAAGATAGATGGCAGGATGGATGGGCCGCTGTATCGCAGCATCTTGCAAGATGAGCTCAAACAGACCATCGATTTTTTCAAGCTTTCCCCCTCAGAGGTCATTTTCCAGCACGACAATGATCCCAAGCACAGGTGTCGTCTGGTCCAAGACTGGCTTGGGGAGCAGGAGTACGCGGTGCTGGAATGGCCGTCGTGCTCCCCGGACCTTAACCCAATTGAGCACCTGTGGGCATACTTGAAAAGGCAGCTGGGGAAGTACGAAAAGCCGCCAAGGGGAATGCTGGAGCTGTGGGAGAGGGTGCAGGAGGAATGGGACAAGATACCGCCGGAGGTGTGTGCAAACCTGATCGACAGCCTGCCGAGGAGGATCAAGGCAGTGATTCGGGCAAAGGGACGCTGGACTAGGTACTAGTTTTCCTAGAATCTAGTGTGATACCATTTTCCGGTACAAATTGTCCACATGTTCTCCCATGCTATGCTTAGGAGTTTAAGGACCATGTGTGGTACTACTTTGGTGTTTGAACACTGGAGTGACTGCTCTAACTGAACTTCTCAGCGTTAATGCACACCGTACATTAAGGCTTAATGTATACGCCTCTGCACTCATAAAAATGCCAAAAAAGGCAAAACATGTGGACAATTTAATCCGCCACTGTACGTGCCACGTTAGCAGACCTGCAGTTCTTTCCGTCCTCTGCTGACCCTTCACTGTTTGTGCGTTCCGGCCAGACTCCGTTCTACATCCTTGTCTACGTAGACGACCTGGTCTTCGCTACTCCTGACAGGGACGCACTGGCCTCTGTGAAGGCTGAGCTGCTGAAGAGACACACCTGCACTGACCTTGGAGAGCTGCGTCGCTATCTTGGCCTGCAGATCTCTAGGGACAGAGCAGCACGCACCATCACTCTGACCCAGTCACACTTGGTGCGTCAGGTCCTTCAGAGGTTCGGTCTTCAGTTCTCCTCCGCACAGCCCACACCTCTACCCGTAGACCATGGGCTCTCTGCTCCCGTTCCTGAGGAGCCAGTAGAGCCCAGTGGCCCCTACGCAGAGCTGGTGGGTTGCCTCATGTACCTGATGACTTGCACTCGCCCAGATCTCGCATACCCTCTCAGCATCCTGGCTCGCTTTGTGGCTACAGGCAGACACCGACCTCAGCACTGGTCTGCCGCTAAGAGGGTTTTGCGTTATCTTGCTAGTACATCAGGCATGGGGTTAGTGCTAGGAGGACGCAGGCCAGTGGTCCTTACTGGGCACACAGACGCTTCTTGGGCAGACGACGCTGAGACGCTCAGGTCGTCGCAGGGCTACTGTTTCAGCCTTGGTTCGGGTGCTATCTCTTGGAGATCCACTCGCTCGTCGTCTGTGGCTCAGTCTAGCTGTGAGGCTGAGATCTACGCTGGTGCCATGGCGGCACAGGAGCTCCGCTGGCTGACCTTCTTGCTCACAGACTTAGGTGAGCGGCCTAGCTCTGCCCCGGTCCTGTACGCTGACAACAGGGCCATGATACTCCTGTGTCAGGAGCCTCGGCTTGAGGGCAGAGCGAAGCATATCCAGCTGCGGTACTTCCTCCTGCGCGAGCTACAGCAGCGCCGCCAGGCCCGCGTAGTTCACTTGGCCTCAGGTGCCAACACAGCTGATATCTTTACTAAGGCGCTTGCGCCTAAAGATCATCAGCGGCACTGTGTACAGCTTGGTCTTGTTCCTATAGCTGCTCCCCTGTTAGGATCCTGATTGTGTACTCTCTATTATATATGCTTGTCAGACTGGCCTTGTGGCCTTACCTCCAGTGGCTGGACTAGTAGTGCCACCCTGGCTTGCTTCAGTTTTGGTTGTATTCTTGCTGACTGGTCTCCAGACCCCTGCCTCAGTGGTTGGACTAGTAGTGCCGCCCTGAGCTGTTTGCTTCTTGTTTAGTTTCACCCCTTGTCTAGCCTAGGGGGTGTGTCAACTTATACATATTATCTATGTAGAAGTTATAGGCTAGACTGAGGTATGCTTCTAGTGAGTACAACCAACTAGTATTTGTTCTAGGTTTCCACCTCTAGTAATCATTCGTTTCTACGTTAACAACAAGGGCTCCGTTCTGCAGGCAAAAAAGGAAAGTGCAGATTGCATCAGAGCACCTTCCGAAAAAACGAGATTTTGCTTCGGATCGAGGGTCAGCCCGCAGATTTTTCCCCAAACCTGGCACTACATACCTGAACCTAGTTACATGGACATGCCTGCAGAACAGGTCCATCTACATATGACATCTACATTAGGTAAACACCCCCCTTGCTTCCCTCCCTGGCAAATCTGATGCAAACTTGATGCAACGCTGCCGTTTCCTCAATCGCGGAGTCCACCTTGCGTTCAACTTTACATCAGCCTCAAGGGTGTACTAGGCCTCCACACCCAAACAAAACGCGTCAGCCTGACCCCACCCTGCCAGATTTGCCAAGCCCTAGCCAAAAAAATCAATCGGTCCAACCCATGGTTATATGGCGCAGAAACACCAGGAGCACAAATACATCGAGCTGGGGATTGTGGGTGCAGCTCGCCAAACCCTAATCATTGTTTCGCCCTGTTATTACCTCCTAATCATACTCATATACCCTTGGGAAGTGAGTATATGTTGCAGAAATATGAAATTCGTTCCTACCTCAATTTCGCGAAAGGTTTCTTCAATTTGCTTGCGTGGCTTCCGAAGGAGGCTCTGTAAAGTGCGCAAGCTTGGGTGGTAACCAGTGCTCGCGAAATCGCTTGAGGAGTTTAGTGTAACCAGTCCTCAATGTCGACGCCGATGTCGACATCAAGTGCCTGAATTATCTCATCCTCCACTCCCATGTGCTAGAGCAATTCATTCTAGTGTCCCTTCGTGACCGTCCTGTTTTCAGACGTAATTATTTCTTGTGTTCTCAGAGCGCGGTACAATTCACCACTTCTGAGGATCGAGGGCATGGTCGACCCTCGACATGGCGATCCTAAGCGCTTTACCCCATAAAACCGCTCAGTATCACTCTGATCCGTAATCAAACCGATTGTTCACAGTTTGACAAGGTTGGGTTTGGGTGCTAGCCGATCCCGATTCTGGGGGATTGTAGCGCACGCTTAGTGCGTCTGCGTCCCAAAATTTGAGGACCAGAAATACGGAGTGGGTATAAAGTAGGTACGTAATAGGTACGTCTGCTACGGAGTAGCCTTGCTATACAAACAATACCTACAAGAAAGATGAGACCCACATTTTTGTGACGTGGTAGCTCGTTCGGTGCATTCGCGCATTGGCGGACCGTATCGGCGCTAGGTTCGGTAGCAATGGCACGGCGTCCGGTGGCAATGGCACGGCATCCGGTGGCAATGGCGCGGGGATTGCTTGGCAGTGCCCTTCAGGCGGCGATGGTGCTCGCTGTTGTCGTCACTCCCAGTCGCTGCGCTTCGGGGCAGGACGTCGACCCATTAGGTACAATGCTATGATCCTGTTCGGTGCAGTGCGCCGCGCTGCTGTGCTGTGCGGTGCTGTGCGTCAATTCAACGTGGTGCGCGAGAGACGAGGCATTGTGCATGGCGCGCTGCTATGCTGCGCTCTCACGTCCGTTCTTCCCGATGTTTCTCGATTTGAAACTTTAAGAGTGTCCCCTCCCTGCCGTATGGTAACCCGCCTGCACACCTTCCGCCTGCCCTGCTCGACGCCTGTCTGTCTGCTGCATGTATGCATGCGTGCGTGTGTGCGTTCGTGTATGCGTGCACGCATGAATGTGCTTGTGCGTGCGTGCATGCATGTATTTTGGATGGACTCCGTCATATCATGCCATGCCATGCGTTATGCCATGTGTGCAGCGGAGGTGATGTCGGGGGTGGCGTGGGAGTGGTACAACAAGGACCTCGCCGACCTCACATGCGACAACGCCCCGGACGCTCTCGAATGCAATGCCAACGGCCAAGTGGTCGCCATGTAAGAACACCAAGTGACCCCTTGAAGCATGTGCTGGCCTGGTCTCTGTGACACGATCCCTGCCCTCCTCCCTCCCAATCCAACCCCCCCACCCTCCCTTCGTCCCTTCTTCCCACGCACCATGTTCCTCTGCGCCCCCCCTCACTCTTACCCGTGTTCAACCCTCAACTGTGCTGCGTGCATGTGGGGGCGAGGCGAGCAGGCAGCTGAACGGCGCGTCCAACGAGACCCTGGCCACCATACCCGCGTGCATCGGCAACCTCACCACCCTCACCTACCTGTGCGACGGCGTCAGCCCTTCTTTACCCCTCGTTCTGGTGCTCTGCCTCCTCCCTCCTCCTCACCTATGCTTACCCGTGCTCATCCACATGCACATGCCCCTGTCATGCCATTCATATGCCACGCCATGCCTATGCCCTGCTATTCCTATGCCATGCCATGCCATGCCCATGCTGATGTTGGTGCGTGTGTCGTGTGTGTGTCGTGTGTGTGCCGTGTGTGGTGCTTTCTGCCCCCCGTGCCCGAGTGTGCAGGAACTTGGCGGAGAACGCTATCACCGGCTCCATTCCAGAGTCTTTCAGCAAGCTCTCGCTGCTCAAGTCGCTGTATGCACGCCCCCGCCTCAAGTGCCCTTGTTATCTCCTTCTCGACGATTCCTCCTGTGCTGGATGATTCGTGTGCATGCAAGTCACAGCTACCTTGTATGCACGCCTGTACACACACACACACACGTGCTCGCACGCACTCGCACGCGCGCACACACACACACACGTGCGTGCGTGCACATGCACTCGCACACACATACACACGCGCGCGCGCACACGCACTCGCACACCCACACGCACACGCTCACGCACACGCACGCGCGCGCACACACACACACACACACCCCACCCACCCACCGTGCGCTGGTTGTGTGGCAGGGATCTGAGCACCAACTTCATGAAGCAGCCCATCGACGTCCTCGCAGCCCTCACCAGCCTCACGCACCTGTAAGCCCCCTCCGCTCCGTGTGGGACCCAGCAGTAGAATGAGAGGCTATTCAGCCACCCATGGGCCATATGGGCTGATTTGGATCGAAAATGTTTGGCCAAGGGAGGGGCAACAATGCTTGGCATAGATAGAGTCCGGTGCCTCTAATCAGCCATCAGCCAAATGACCAATGCTAGGCATTGTTGTTTGTTGCCGACAGATGTGGCTTTATCTCTCACTCACTCATCCATCCATCCATCCATCCGTCCATCCATCCACCAACCACACCACACTCCATGCACGTGGCCGTTCCTCTCACCTGCTTGCCACTGTGGCACTGCCAGCCAACCAAGCCCAGCGTAGCCGTATGCATGCTGCTCGATGAGCCACCCGCCATCTGTGCACGGGCAGCTTAAGGCACATCGAATACACTGTGTGCCATGCTGTTCCTGCATGCCTGCCTGCCTGCCTGCCTGCCTGCCTGCCTGGGCGGGTGGGTGCAGGAACATGAGTGGGAACCTCATCAGGGCGCCACTTTCACCAGCCGTGGGACAGCTGCCAGCCCTCGTGCACCTGTATGTGGCTCGACAAGCGCTCCCCTCCCCCCCCCCCCCCCCCCATGCATGCACTACATGCTCAATGCATGCATGCCATGCATGCCATGCCCTGATTAGGCACATGATTACATGCACGCAATGCGCCTGTGCGCCGTGCTGCTGCTCCTTTTCCCTTTTTTTTTCGTGTATCGAATTCTGGTGGTGTGAGCTTTCGTTCCTTCCTTCCTGCAGGGATTTCGCGAACAACCTCGTGGATGATGTCAAGGAGCTGTCTGCCCTCACCAACCTCAAATATCTGTACGCACCCATGGGCCATGCCCACCACCTCCGTTGCGTGAATTTCAAGTGCGCTTAGTTTGAGCCGCCGAAAAATTAGTCAAGGGCATGTGTGAGAGAAGAAAAATTGCTTTTTTGTACGGAGGAGAGCCTGAATCCTGAGGAGTACCTTTATGGTGCTCTTTCAACCATTTACCTCATACGTGGGAGCACGTCGCAGGTGCTTTGATAGTTTGAGAATTCTTAAAAAAACAGGTGCAGTGCAGGTGCAGGATGCTGGCGAACTTCATAATCACTCACTCTACCCTGTCTGCGAACTAGGGCTGTAAGTCGACCCTGCAGCACACCATGCTCTTAACTCACGCTCTTTTTTTTTATTAAAACAAAAGTATCTGCAACTGCATAGTAGCAGGTGTGAGAGGGAGGCTTAGGCTGTTTGTTGCATGCCCCTTGTGTGGTGGTGGTGGTGGGGTGGTGGTGGTGGTGCCTGCAGGAGTCTGCATGACTGTGCCATGGGATCTGAATCCCTGAGGACTTTCAGCACCCTGACAGCACTGCAATTCCTGTGTGTGAATAGATTTACCTCACTCAACCGGTGCATGTCTCAAGTGGCAAGTAGAGTACCCCTCTCTCTCTCTTGCTCCCTCTCTCTCGCTTGCCCCATCCCTCTCTCCTTTCCTTCCGCTCCCCCCCCCACCCTCCCAGCTCAACTCAACACGAGCATACCGCAACTAGTTGCTCTCCCACACGCGCCCTGATTGCCCTGGCAGGGACCTCCGAAACAACACGTTTGAGGGCTCACTCGACGCCCTCACAACACTCACTCGCCTCCAATACCTGTGAGAGCCGAGCTTCACCTCAAACCACCTCACCTCACCTCGTCTCACCACACCTCACCTCACCTCACCGCACCTCACTGCCCCTCACCGCACTCACCGCACCTCACCTCACCTCACCCCACCTCGGTATTGTGAGGCGCTTTGGTAACAATGCTGCTATGGCTGCTCAATAGCTCGTCGCAGCATGCCAGCACGTGGGAGCAGTGCATGCTGGCGGGTGCACTCGCGCACGCGCACTCTGGCACACCGGTGTGCTCGCACTGTCGCCCACACACACGCACACTGGCACACTCTCACCCTCGCACGCTCACAAATTCGCAGGCTCTTCAGCTGACGGCTGCCATTCTGCTGGCGTGCTTGCTAGGAGCACACCTCTTCCCTCCACCCATTCCCCACGCCACCATCGCCCTCCTGTCTCACTCACTCCAGGGCGTCTTTCATGGTCACCTCAGTCGTACTTACTCTCGGCAACACTCACCATCCCCGTTTCATGCCTACATTGGAATCTTGCAGCTTGCCTTGCCTCTGAACGTGCACTCAAGAACCATCCACGTGTGTGTGACCTGACATGCCTCAATGCCCTTGTTGTATGGTGCCGTGCCGTGCATTTGACTGCAGGAGCCTAGCCTACAATAGCGTTACGGGCAGCATACCAGCTGCCCTCACTCGCCTCTCCATGCTCACATTCCTGTATGTACGCCCGGTGACTTTTGAGTCGACTCAAAAGTCGCCTCTCCGTGCTCACATTCCTGTATGTACGCCCGCCCGCATGCATGCCCAGCATGCACAGCTCTGTGATGTGATGTAGCGATATTGCACGGTCTTTGGCATCCTCCTTACAACACAACACTACCTCGTCCATCTTTCATATCTCTTCTTCTCTCCTTCCCCCTCTCTCTCCCTCCCCCCTCCTCCCCCCCCTCTCCCCCTCCCTCACTCCCACACACTCGTACACTTCCTATGCAACAGCGAGCTTGCGATCAATGGTATTAACGGGCCAGTCGACACTGTTACAGCCATGACTGCACTCCGTTTCCTGTGAGTGTTCGTGGTTGCTCGCACGCACTGCATACATACACATGAAGGCAACAGAGGCATATATCACCCCCACCCAACAATGTGAGGATGGATGGGAGAGGTGGCCGTTTGTGAGGAATTCAGAAAAAGGGTCATCCAAGCGGGTCCAGTCCAGTCCAGTCCAGGCCAGCCGTGCAGTGCAGTAGTCTGCTGTGTTTTCGCTGTGCTTTATAAAATAAACTCCGTGTTTCTCCCCTCCCCACTGAGCCTTGAAAGCGCTCATCAGGCGTTCAATCTCTGAATCATGCATGCATGTCCCTGTCTGTCTCTGTCTGTCTCTATGCGTCTCTGTGCGTCTCTGTGCGTCTCTGTCTGTCTCTGTTCGTCTGTGCACCCCATGCCTGCCATGCGCGCAGGTCGTTCTACCAGAACAACTTCTCGGGCTCCTTTCCTGTCACCATCACTCGCCTCGTCAACCTCACCTACCTGTAAGCCCCTTGCAGGCCACTCACGGCGGTGATTGTCAGCCCCTTGCAAGGCATCACATCCATCCATCCATCCATTCATCCATTCCATCCGTCCGTCCATCCGTCCGTCCGTCCATCCGTCCATCCTGTGTTGTGTTGAGCCGCCTCCGCCTCAATGCTCTCTTGATAGGCGCCTTTTCATCCATCCAGCTGCACCCCCCCCCCCCCCACTTAGGGGCTTTGCGTATACTGCTCCGTATACATTGTAGAACTCCAACATGTGTGCATCCATCAGTGCGTGCCAACTGTTCCGCTCCGACCAATCAATTTTCCCACTGAATATCAGTATCATTATCAGGGCGGGTCGACAATGGCATGTTGAACCAACCATACACGTATTTCTTCAGCTTATTACACATCTTTATCAACGCACTTGTTAAACCAACCATACAGCCGAGCACCATAAAATCTTGCAGCACAGCACAGCACACCAAGGTCTCCTCCTGACATGGCCGACACGACACCTCAAAACCAGGCCTCAAAACCAGGCCTCAAAACCAGGCCTCAAAACCAGGCCTCAAAACCAGGCCTCAAAGCCAGGCCTCAAAACCAGGCCTCAAAACCAGGCCTCAAAACTAGGCCTCAAAACTAGGCCTCAAACTAGGCCTCAAAATTAGGCCTCAAAACTAGGCCTCAAAACTAGGCCTCAAACTAGGCGGCTCAAAACCAGGCGGCTCAAAACTAGACCCCCATCTTTCCCGTCCATCATCCCCGGCATGTTTCACCATGCCTGCAGCGATCTGGGCTACAACAGGTTCAGTGGGAGTGTGCCAGAGTCTTTGGGCCAGATGTCAAACCTCCGCTACTTGTGAGCCGTAGGCCGCCATGTTGCCTGCATGTAGAGCTCAGAGCCTTATCAAGTTGCTGAGCAGTCTGTTGCTGTGCTGCCTTTTGTATCGTCGACTGAGGAGCCACATGGCTCAATGTGCGTCACTATAGGAATAACCGGGATGTATCAGCAGGGAATACTTCTGCCACAGGGGGTTTTTTTCAGGCACCCGTTTGCCATGTGCTCCTGGCGCTGAATTGTTGATGATGACAATGACGGGGGGGCGGGGGGGGAGGGGGGGTGATGGCGGGGGGGGCGGGCGGTGGCGGTGGCGGTAGCGATGATGATGGTAGAAGTAGTAACCCTTTTTCTCTCCCCCTGTCGTTTTACCCCTCATCATGGTAGGGACCTTGGAGACAGCTCGCTGCAGGGGTCGGTGCCAGCATCCCTGGGGAATCTCACCAACCTCGAGAATCTGTGAGTGGGCCTCTCTGAGGCTGTGAGGAGTCATTTTTTAGAATTCTCAAAAATGAGTGGGCTTCTCTGAGCTAGGCTAACGAACAGAGCTGCTTGTGAGGCGCCTCAGAGATAGACACCTTGAGCTATGACACGCAGGTGCTTGCTTGATCCATTGCACACAATGCATGCAATGAGTGGACGCGCAATGCATGCACACATGCTAACATGCATGTGCGCTAACGCACTTTCTTGTACCCATGCACGGTTCTTTCCCTGCTGAGTGGATTCTCAGTGCTTGCTTGCTTGCTTGCTTGCTTGCTTGCTTGCTTGCTTGCTTGCTTGCTTGCTTGCTTGCTTGCTTGCTTGCTTGCTTGCTTGCTTGCTTGCTTGCTTGCTTGCTTGCTTGCTTGCTTGCTTGCTTGCTTGCTTGCTTGCTTGCTTGCTTGCTTGCTTGCTTTGCTTGCTTGCTTGCTTGCTTGCTTGCTTGCTTGCTTGCTTGCTTGCTTGCTTGCTTGCTTGGCTTGCTTGCTTGCTTGCTTGCTTGCTTGCTTGCTTGCTTGCTTGCTGCTTGCTTGCTTGCTTGCTTGCTTGCTTGCTTGCTTGCTTGCTTGCTTGCTTTGCTTGCTTGCTTGCTTGCTTGCTTGCTTGCTTGCTTGCTTGCTTGCTTGCTTGCTTGCTTGCTTGCTTGCTTGCTTGCTTGCTTGCTTGCTTGCTTGCTTGCTTGCTTGCTTGCTTGCTTGCTTGCTTGCTTGCTTGCTTGCTTGCTTGCTTGCTTGCTTGCTTGCTTGCTTGCTTGCTTGCTTGCTTGCTTGCTTGCTTGCTTGCTTGCTTGCTTGCTTGCTTGCTTGCTTGCTTGCTTGCTTGCTTGCTTGCTTGCTTGCTTGCTTGCTTGCTTGCTTGCTTGCTTGCTTGCTTGCTTGCTTGCTTGCTTGCTTGCTTGCTTGCTTGCTTGCTTGCTTGCTTGCTTGCTTGCTTGCTTGCTTGCTTGCTTGCTTGCTTGCTTGCTTGCTTGCTTGCTTGCTTGCTTGCTTGCTTGCTTGCTTGCTTGGCTTGCTTGCTTGCTTGCTTGCTTGCTTGCTTGCTTGCTTGCTTGCTTGCTTGCTTGCTTGCTTGCTTTGCTTGCTTGCTTGCTTGCTTGCTTGCTTGCTTGCTTGCTTGCTTGCTTGCTTGCTTGCTTGCTTGCTTGCTTGCTTGCTTGCTTGCTTGCTTGCTTGCTTGCTTGCTTGCTTGCTTGCTTGCTTGCTTGCTTGCTTGCTTGCTTGCTTGCTTGCGTGGAAGCACCAGTGGGTTCTGTCAGGCTGTCCGCATTGCAAAGAGGAGGAAGCCCCCGGTTTGAATGAAACGCTTCTACTAAGCAAAGTTGGGCTTCCAAGGGAAAGGCTCTTGCCACACTGTCCCTTTTACAGCCGTTTTTTCTCCGTTCTCTCACTCCAGTCCTGTGCTCTTCTCGTTCGTGTGCCCTCTGCCATGCCTGCTCCACTTTCCGACACTCATTCACCCGCCACCCCGGCCCCCAACCCTACCCTCACCCCCACACCCCCCTACTCCCCATGCCTTCAATCCATGTTCCCTCCACTCCCTGCGTGCTATGCTTCGACGCAAAAGTCACCCCGCACTCTCTCAGTGTCTTCCGTGCCTGTGCCCTGTCTCCTCCACTAATCTCCCCCCCCAACCCCACCTCCCCCTCCCCTCCCCTCCCCCCCCGCAGCTGGTTTGTGAATGTCAATGCGACGACGGGTCCAAGTTGCGTAGGTTAGTTTTGAGGCGTCTCAAAACTAACCTAACCCACCCCACCTCCTCCTCCCCTCCTCGCCCCCCCCCAGCTGGTTTATCAACACCAATGCAACGACGGGTCCAAGTTGCGGTGTGGGGGGTGCGTGTGTGGTGGACCAGAACGCCTCCACGTCCTTCTGCAGCGCGTGCCCCGCCTTCTGCCAGTCCTGCTCGCCGCCAGGGCTCTGCGTCGGCTGCAAGGGTGGGTGCCGCGCTGCAAGGGTGGGTGCTGCGCTGCAAGGGTGGGTGCTGCGCTGCAAGGGTGGGTGCTGCGCTGCAAGGGTGGGTGCCACTCTGCAAGGGTGGTTGTGCCTGAAAGGGGGGAGTGGTTGCAGCAAGGAGTAAGAGATTCTTTAGGCCCTCCATGCTCTTTGCCCTCACCTGACCTGCTGTCAGATTCGCACATGACCTGATGTGCACCTCCTTTTCTCCATGGCCCCCTCACCCACACCCATGCCGTGCCATCCCGTGCCATGCCATGCCATGCCATGCCGTGCCGTGCCATGCCAGAGTCAGAGCCCCAGCCGGAGCAGTCAACCGGAGGCAGTGGTCTGTCTACAGGGGCCCTGATCGGCATCATCGTGGGTGGGGTGGTGGTGCTGCTGCTCGCTGTCATCGGGGTGGGCGTCTTCTTCTACCTTCGGAGGATGAAAAGGGCATCCCGCTTTGGTACGTCCCCGTGAGAGTTGTTTTCGGAATACTCGACTCAAATTTCTCGGACAAGGAAAAGGATCTCTTGCTTCGATAAGTCCTCTCGCTTTTGGAATGTGCCGATCGATGTGGATCGAGGCTGGATGCGGTGATCAGCCATCCCATGTTTGCCTGTCTGTCTGTCCAGCTCTTGAAGAACCCGACACATCGCCCCTCTCTGTGTCATTGTTACACCACCGCTGCCCTGCCACTGTCATCCCTACTGCCACTCCCACCATCCCCACCACCACCACCATCCCTACTGTACACAATGCAGGAGGTGGCTCAGGTTCTGAGGCGCCTCACTAGCAGACTCCTTACATGCGGCTCCCCTTCCACCACCCCCATCACCACCACCCCCACCACCACCCCCACCACCCCCATCACCACCACCCCCACCACCACCCCCACCACCCCCATCACCATGCAGGCGCGCTGGCCAAGGGGGTGTGTGTGGAGTACACAATGAAAGAAATGGAGCAAGCCACCAACAGCTGGGCGGACAGCAACCTGCTGGGGTCAGGGGGTTTTGGCGACGTGTACAAGGGCGTGTCCCCGGACGATGGCACCACGCTGTGGGCTGTGAAGCGCGCCAAAGTGATCACCAATGACTTCCAGAGGGAGGTGAGTTGGTCCTCGCGTCGCATGGGGATGGTGTTCCGGAAAGAAAACGGGATGTGGCGTGAGCCTTAGAGCTCTGATACCATGGAAGGATTGAAGAAGTTGTTTCAGTAAGTAATAGAATCAGGAGCATACATAGGAAAGTTGGGAAGGAAGGGAAGCTAGCAAGAGAAAGACGAACAGTGCCACATGCTGTTGGGTAAGAACAGTACCCAACCACCATGGGAGCCACTGCTCATGGTTCCAATATTGTGGTCTTGGTGCTCGGGGGCTCCAACCACGAGGGGGGTTGGATTAACACCCCTTGCACTTTGATGTGTACACCATAGGTTGGTGTACACCTAGCTAATATACTAGTCTAGCATGTTACAACAATAGATGTATGTAATCTAACAGTTTCGGAAGCAGAATATGGTTGAATGGGGACCTGGAGTATGTTCGAGTATGTTCAAGCGTGTTCAACTTTCAGAGTGGAGTGAGTGGACACGGAGGGCCCATCGATCGACGTCAGCCGTGTCTGGGCTTTGTGTACATTCTCTGGTCCCCATTCACACGGAATGAGGTCTCCTTTCCTCCCGGTTTCTTACCTTCCGCCAACACCCTGAATTCCTCTCTCACCTCCCCCCCACCTCCCCCCTCTCCTCCCCTCCCTACCTCCCCACGCACCTCCCCCATCACCTCCCCCCTCACCTCCCCCCTCACCTCCCCCCTCACTTCCCCCCGCACCTCCCCCCTCACCTCCCCCCTCACCCCCCTCTCCCCTGCCCTTCACCACCCTCCCAGGTGTCGGAGATGGCGACGAAGCACCACCCGAACCTGGTGCGGCTGCTGGGGTACGCCACGTGCGGGGACCTGCGAGACCGCATCGAGCAGGTGCTCGTCTACGAGTTCATTTCCAACGGCGACCTGCACAGATGGCTCTCCAAAGGTGGGTGGGCGGATTTTGAGGCGCCTGAGAACTAGTCTTCTAACACTTGTCTACAAGTTCATTCCCAACAGCGACCTGCACAAGTGGCTCTTAAATGGGCGGTCTTGTGCTGGGGGGACTTGCACGGGCCGTCTTGTGCTGGGGGTTCTTGCGCTGGGGGGTCGTGTTCTCCCCCACCCGTTCAACACCCAGACTCACCTCACCGCTTACACTGAAGCAGCTGCTGGGCACTTTTGAAGGCGGCCCAAAACTAGACATCTATCTCCTTCCCTCCTGACCCACCCCCCCCCCAGAGTTGATGGGAGTACGGCCTCTGCAGCCCACCTGTACTTCTTCTACTACGACTCCTCTGCCACCTTCCCAGCAGCTGGACAGTTTTGCGGCACCTCAAATCTATTCTTCTTTTTCTCTCCCTCCCATCCCGCATTCCCCAGACGCGCCCTCGCCGCTGACACTGAAGCAGTGGCTGGACAGTTTTGGGCGCCTCAATTCGATTCTTCTTTCGCCATCCTTCCTATCCTGGACCCCCCAGACGCGCCCTCGCCACTGACGCTGAAGCAGCGGCTGGACATCATCATCGGCGCGGCGCACGGGTTTGAGTACCTCCACGGCTTTGACATCGTGCACCGCGACATCAAGCCCGCCAACATCCTCATCGATGGCAACATGCAGGTGTGCTGGCAAGTGGGCTGGCAAAACAGTTCAGTTAACAGCAACATTCACGTCAAGATGCAGCTGCTGTTCTTGCTGTGTCTGCCTCTCATCCATCCATCCATCCATCCATCCATCCATCCATCCATCCATCCATCCATCCATCCATCCATCCATCCATCCATCCATCCATCTGTCCATCCATCCATCCATCCATCCATCCATCCATCCATCCATCCATCCATCCATCCATCCATCCATCCATCCATCCATCCATCCATCCATCCATCCATCCATCCATCCATCCATCCATCCATCCATCCATCCATCCATCCATCCATCCATCCATCCATCCATCCATCCATCCATCCATCCATCCATCCATCCATCCATCCATCCATCCATCCATCCATCCATCCATCCATCCATCCATCCATCCATCCATCCATCCATCCATCCATCCATCCATCCATCCATCCATCCATCTGTCCATCCATCCATCTGTCCATCCACCGAACACATATATATGAGCCTCCCTCACCCCACTCCTCTCCCCCCTCTTCCCCCTCCCGAGAGCAGCCCAAGGTGGCTGATTTCGGGCTGGTGCGAGTGGAGGGAGGCACCACGGTGGTAGCCACGCGAGTGATGGGAACACCGGGCTATGTGGACCCTGCTTACTCTCGCACGCAGAAGGCCACGCCTGCCACTGATGTGTACAGGTACTGCTGATGGTGTGTGCAGGTGGGGATGTGCTACAGGTACTGCTGGTGTGTGCAAGTGCTGGTGTGTACAGATACTGCCGATGTTTACAGGTACTGCTGATGTGTACAGGTACTGCTGATGTGTACAGTTGGGGATGTACTATATGTACTGCTGGTGTGTGCAAGTGCTGATGGGCTCAGACGTACACAGAACAAGTCTGTTTCCGAGCATGCTGCAGTGGCTGCATGATCTCCTTTTTGGGCATGTGTTAACAATCGAGTCTACTCAAAAGATCTTCTGTTTAGCCACGTGTGTTCCTTCTAACTTGTGGGGCTCTTGCCTTGACTCGCGAGTCTGATGGGGAAAATGATTTGACTTCGTGGTTGTGGACAGTGCGTGTGCATTTAACGCCGTCGCCTGCGATTCTCTATGTTTTAATCCATGAGACCTCGTTCATCCTTGCATCTGCATGCCACCTTGCTGTGTGCGCGTGCATGTGTGCATGTGTGCATGTGCGGCTGATCAGTTTCGGTATTCTCATGCTGGGAGTGCTCACCGGCAAGACTGCCATCTTTGAGGAGGGCCACCGCACATGGAGCAACCTCGAATGGGTGTGCATCTCACCGTCCCATCCCTTCCTTCTTCCGCCTGCTCTTCCCTTCTCTTCTTCTCTTCTCTTCTCTTCTCTTCTCTTCTCTTCTCTTCTCTTCTCTTCTCTTCTCTTCTCTTCTCTTCTCTTCTCTTCTCTTCTCTTCTCTTCTCTTCTCTTCCCTTCCCTTCACTTCCCTTTCTCCTCTCCTCTCTTTTTCTCTCCTCTCCTCTCCTCTCCTCTCCATTTCTCTTCTCTTCTCTTTCATCTCAACGCCTGTATCCACTCTCTGTGCTGCCAACTGATTGCTCGTCTCTATGCTGCCCCTTCAATATCCCCAGTCCCACTCTTGTCCCTTTCCCCCCCACACCCACCCCCTTACAATGCTACCAACCCTACATACGCCTCACCCCTTCTTTACTGCCCTCCGTCGCTCCCAGCTCAACCCCGTCGTCCTCGCCACTCACTCACGCCCTTCCGCCTCCCTTCCACCCCCCTCCCCTCCAAACGTCTTGAACCCGTGCTCGCACGTCACCCCCCCTCTCTCCCAGCCTCATCTCCTCGTTCTTCCACCCTGAACGGTACACTACCAGGTCCAGGAGAAGCCCGCCCGTGAGGCACTAGTTCTGATTGCAGACCCCTGCATGCGCGATGCTCAATTACCGTCTTCCGCCCTTCCCCTCCCACCCTGAAACTGCACACCACCAAGTGGAAGAGAAGCTCGCCCCGAAGGCAGTAGACGAGATTGCAGACCCCTCCATGGGTGATGCAGTAGACCGTACACCATCTCTCCCCCTTCCACCCTGGACTGCACACCACCAGGTGCAGGAGAAACTCGCTCAAGGGGCAGTGGACGAGATAGCGGACCCCTCCATGGGCGACGACCGCCCTCCTACCAGCGCCGTGCAGCGCATAGCCGACCTGGCCATCCGCTGCACCGCCACCTTCACTGCAGACCGCCCCACCATGGCGCGCATCGCCTGTGAGATGGAGGCGCTAAGGGCCGAGGTGTGCGGCGGGGAGGAGGACCTGGTGCACCGCGCGCACCGCCAGGTGGATGAGGAGCTGAAGGAGAGCATGGAGCAGGAGCGGGAGATGAACGCGGAGTTATTTATGACGCTCACTGGGGGGGACACGGGGAGCATGATGGGGATCACGGGGGATATGGGGGGCATGAGCACACCTGAGGTGCAATCGGGCAGTCAGGTGTGAAGGGAAGGGAACGGCTTTTGAGGCGTCTAAGAGGTGGGTGCGGCGTTGAAGGAGAGTGTGCAGCAGCAGAAGGAGCGGACCAAGGGGCGGTTCACAGAGATCACCATGCTCACCATGAGGGACCGGGGGGGCGTGAGCACCGCTGAGGTGCAATCGGGCAGTCACGCGATTACGCGAAGAGTGGTGCAAAGGGAAGGGAAGGGACGGGAAAGAACGGTGCTAGTATATGTGTGCAAGCAAACGGACTGATGATGGTTTCGGTGGGTTCTGTTCTGTTCTGTGGTCCATCAAGTACACCACTTGCCGAGCAGCTTACACAGTACACCTTGTTGGTGTTGGCTGACCGACTGCCTCGCTGGAGTGTTATTTATACTGTTGCTGGGTACACGCGTTTCTGGGTCAGGTTTAGTGCTTGCGTAAAATTATTTGCTCGACTCAGTGACAACATTTGGCTTGACAGCAGATGGTGATGCAAGCGTGGCCCAGATGCCAGTGAGCATCAGAAAAGAGGTATTCTAGCCCAGAAATTCTACTTAAGTGACTATCCAGTGTATTGAGCAGCAACAATGCTAGACATGCCGATTAGAATGCTACTGGTGGTACATGTGAAGCAGCACATCAATCAGAGAAGGCTGCTCGAGCGCTGGCTCTTGTCATAGAGTACAGCAAACTGCCAGATTGTGCCCAGCACAGCCTGCATGCAAAACGATGAAAAAATAGACACAGACAAACATCAAAGCGACATGATCAGATCAGAGTACCGGCAGTGACAAAACGCAGGGAAACTGGGCTGAGTAAGAGCGGCCTGTGAACTGACAAGCAGGATGGAAGGCACTTCAATACCCACTTCAAGACAGTTACAAGACCACTTCAAGCATAGTGTACTGTACCTGTGGCGTCACTGTTGCTGAGGAGCCGAAGTACTTGGCGAGTGCTTTCAATTGCTCTCTGAAAATCAGGAGAGAAATACAGGCGGATCCGCAACGGGGAGGATGGGAAGCGAGAAAGGAGCCAGAGAGTTGCAATCAGCGAAACTCAGAGACAATCATATGTCAGAAAGTGTGGAGGCATAAGACCCTTCCCCTCCAACCCCCCTTCCTCCCCCTCCCTCCCTCCCCCCCCTCCCCTCCCCTTCCTTCCCAACATGCTCAGGAAGCGGTTTGTAACACCTGCCGACGCCCCACGACCATCCTCAAGACTGACCTGCATCTCGCGGTTTCCTCTGCGAGGCTGTCTCTCTCCGGCCGTGCCTTGTCAAGGAAAGCCGTAAGGTGCTCCGACAGAGGCAGCTCCCTCCGCCCCTCCGTTGACGACGCATCATCCCTCTCCTCTGGGTCGTCTTCCCCATCCTCCCCCTCCTCCTCCTCCTCGTCCCATTCCTCATCCCACTCCTCATAGCAATCCTCCTCCCCCTCCTGCTCCTCTTGTCCATCCACATCCCCCTCGGCCCCATTCTTTGCCTCTGTCATTTCCCTCCCTTGCTGGGCCACAGAGCTACTACCACCCCCAGCCTTATCACCACCACCTTCTCTTCCCTCCTTCACTGCGTCACAGCTGGCAGCAGCATGTGCAGCATCACCAGTCTCACTTTCTCTCACTCCTTTCCTTTCCAAACCCTCCTCCCTCCTGTCCCCCTCTCCTGCGCTCCCCCCTCCAGCCACCGCACACCCCTCCCTCACTGGTACCCTGATCCTCAACCGGCCAGAGGCCCTCACCTCCCTCATCCCCCCTCCCTCTGCTCTCTCTCCGCCTTCTCCCACCCCTTCTCTGCCGTTCGCCCCCACCATCGCACTGCACGCCTCCTCACCACTCTCCACCTCGTCCGTCCCATATCTGCTCATGACCTGGATGCCAGGGGGAGCAGAGCAGATGCTGCTGACAGGGGCAGCGCCGGGAGGTGGGCTCCGTAGCAGTCTCTCGAGCTCCTGAGCCACTTGCAGCCGCTGCATGGGCTTTGTAGCTGCTTTAGCTGTAGCTGTAGCTGTAGCTGAAGCTGAATCTGAAGCTACTCCTGCTGTGACTGCGTCACCAGCTGCTGATTCTGCTACCGCTGCAGCATCAGCTCGTTCTGCAACTGTTTCAGCTGACAAACGAAGAGAAACGGCAGTAGCAGCAGAAGCAGCGGCAGAAGCAGCAGCAGCAGCAGTATGACAGTTTGTCTCTGTGGCAGAAGTGCTGCGAGTTCCGAGTGCCCGTAGAGAGAATGGCCCATCGCTTCTCCTCCTCTTACTGTGACTTCCCTTACAATCACAGGGGTTGCCTCCACACTCACAAGCAGCACGTGCAGCACCCACGCCCTTCAGGAGCTCATGAAAGGCAAGGCTTTCAAGCTGAGTGGGGTCACTGTGAGTGCGGGGAAGGATGCGCCCACTGCTGCGAACACCAGCAGCACCACCGCCAAACGCAGCCGCAGCAGCAGCACCACCACCAGAACCCTTCCTGTGCCTCCTCACAACACCCCTTCCTGATGCTCTCCTGCTGCTCCTGCTGCTCCTGCTGCCCAAGCCGTCACAGCCAACACCACTGCTGCCATCTCGCCCCATGCTGGCCAACTTACTGCTACTTGCAGCCTCCAAGCGAGCAGAGCAGCTCCCAAACAACGGCCGCAGACATTCCCGAGGGCCCTGCTGCTGCTGCTCACTCGTTCCCTCCTCATCCTTACAGACGCGCTTCTGAGTCACCTCCCCCTCTTCCTCCCTCACCTGCTCCCCTCGCACAGGCCCAGTCACTGACGACTCGCCACCACCCACGTCCTCCCCTACCCCACACTCCTTCTCCCCCACCCCTCCGGCAGCTCCTGCTCTTGCTACTCTCAGTGCTCCGTCGCCTCTGTCTGCTGCCCCTGGCTTGAGTGCTGAGCCGCGCAGCAGCAGGTCGGGGCGGACGAGCAGATTGCCGTCAGACCATGCGCGCTTGGTGCCGGGAGATGGAGTGATGGCCCCGTCAAACGGGCTCCTGCGGTACACCACACACGTCGGCCGCGACGACCTCTTTCTTCCATCCCCACCGGCCCCACCGCCCCCTCCTCCTCGTGCCAACGGCTGCCAACCATTGTCCGCCCGCAAGCCCCTGCGCTCGCCACCTTCTTCCCCCTCCTCCTCCTCATCACCATCACTGCTGCTGCCGCTGCTGCTGCTGCTGGAGTCCACGAGCTCGCTCATGAGCCTGAACGGCCCACTGCCACCCGCAGCCCGCATCAGACGGCTCTGAGTAGGGAGGACTATTGGAGTGGCGAAGGCGAGTCCTGGGGTGGTGGTGGCTTGCACTGGAGTGACGGCGAGTTCAGGGCGAGGACAATCCACAGGAGGAGCAGGGAAAGAAAGGGGTGTGGAGGCGGCTGCTGTGGTGCTGTTGATGTCCCTGCTGCTGCTAACGTTGCTGCCCAGATTTGCACTCAAAGGGGCTTGATTGGCAGTAGCTGTGGCGTTAAGAAGAGGGGCAGGAGAAAGAGGAGGAGGCAGCAGCGGAGAGGGAAGAGGAGGAGGCGCGCTGGTGGGAGGGGTGGGAGCGGGATCCGCATTCTCGTCCTGCTCGTGAATGGACCCCAGGCGAAGGATAGGCATCGGTTTCACAGGCCCACGCCCAGAAGACGAGGCTGACGGGTTGAGCCTGCGAGACCCCAAGGCCGGGGCCTTTTCTCCTCCTTGTGTCCTTAGAGAGCTCAAGTCTTCCAGGGAGGACCCTATCCCTGAGCCCACAGCACCCCCTGCGGCCATCTCAGCCCGCGCCTCTGGTCCTATGGATACCAGGTCAGCTCCCCGTCCCACTGTTCTTGTTCCCGAGCCTTCCCTTGCTCGTCCCCTTCCCCTCCCTCCGCCTCGCCCTCGGCCCCTGCCTCTCCCTCCCCGCCCCTTCCCTCCTCCTCTGCCTGCTTCTGAGTGGCTCCCCTCTTTACTGTCACGCCCTGTGAATGCCACCTCGCTGTTCGCTTTAGACGCGTTCGGTGCGTTACTTGAAGCAGAGAATGTTAGTTGAGGTGCCGATGCTGCTGCTGCTTCTGCTGCCGGTGCCACCCCTCTTAACACCGGACTTGCAACAGCCGAAGCAGCAGCAATTGTACTGGTGCTTTTGCCGTTCGTTGAATTCGCAGCAGTAAGTGGAATTGATGTTGCTTCATCATTCGCCTCTACTCTTGGCTTCCCACTAGCCCCCTGGTGCACTTCCCCTTCCACTAGGCTCACAGACGTGCACACAGCGCCCCTACCCCCTGCTGTCGCTTCCTGCCTGCCCAGCTGCCTCTGCTGTGGTGGGGGCAGCGGAGGACGGGGTGGTGCTGGTGGTGGGGGGGTGGAGGGGGGGAGGAGGGGCAAGAGATAGAGGCGGAGGAGGAGGGGGCGGGGAACCAGCACCTGTAGCTGCAGCAGCAGCACCGACGACTTTCGGTTCATCACTTTTTGCACTTCCTCCATTTACCACCTCGTCATCATGTGGCACCACGCTTTTCGCACCCCGCGACTTCCCTTGCCCCTTCGCCCCTCGCTCCTTCGCCTGCCCTTTTTCCACCATCCCTGCCATCTCCTTCCCCTTGTCTTTCTTCGCGCCTCTCCCACGCGACGGCACCCCAAACATGGACCTCCTCCTCCCTTTCTCCTTGGCAAAGCAGGTCCCGGCGCACGAGGCTGCAGCTCCAGTGGCCACAGACCCAGAACTCATCTCCGAGTCACTGCTCTCCCTCTCCGCCGCTCCAATGCGCAGGGACTGCTTTGCTGCCACTGCTGCTGCCTGCTGCGACAGCAGCTCGCCCACTGCATCCTCCTCCCCACCTTCACCAGAACCGCCACTCCCTCTCCTCCTCGACGCTATACCCTCCTGTGATTCTGACCCTGCTGGCGGCTCTGCAAGCGCATTGCCACCTGCAGCAGCAGCAGCAGCGGCGGCGGCGGCGGCACCAGCAGAAGCTTCGGCTGCTGCTTTTGCTTCTGCCTCTGCGGCTGCTGCTGCCTCGTCGTCGCGAATGAGGAAGGCGAGTTCTCGCTCCACCATGCCTATGCCCTGGTCCATTGGCGTCAGCGAGGAGTCTATCTCGTCCTGAGAAAGGGAGGGGGGGGGGGTGGGGGAGAACAGGCTCAGTCAATTCGAAAAGGAGCCAAGGGAAAAGAACAGCAGCAATGAGAAAGAAAAGCCTCGGTGATTTCATACTCCCACCACACGTCCCTCCACCCATTCCATACCCCCCTCCCCACACCACTCCACTGCTCCCTCCTAACCCTGCTTCCTCACCCCAACTTCCCATCCCTATCATCCCCTCGTGCCCTCACCCCATTCCTCATGCCCCGGTTTCCCCTACCTGTGAGTACTTAGCAGCGAGCCCAACAGCCTCCAGCTCCTTGCTCATTTCAAAGGGCGGAGTCACAGCGCCACTAGCCGCCAGCCGCAGCACCACCACTTCCAGCAGACACGACGCCCGCAGGATAGCACTACTCAGCGCGTCCGCGTCCCCTGCTGCTGCCGCCATGGCGATCACCTTAGGGGAGAAGGCAGCAGCACGGGGAGACATGGCTCTAGGAGAGAGAACGGCTGCTGCTGGTGTGAGAGCAGGGGCAGGGAGGGGCGTGGTTGGCGGGGGCTGGGAGGCTGACGGATGGTTATGCAGGGAGGGAAGAGACGCGGATTGGTGGATGGGAAGGGAGGAGGAAGTGGGGAGGGAGGAGGAATCCTGTGCGGTTTGAAGCCCAGGCGGGGATTTGACTTGGGTGGAATCGGTGTGGGAGTGGGAGCGGGGCACGGGTCGGTGGGCAGGGGTGAGAAAGGAGTCAGGCTTGGGCGTGCTGGGAGGAAATGGGGGAGGTAAGGTGACGGTGGTCTTATGGTCGAAGAGCTTGGGAAGAGATTCCACATTGAAGCCAGCAGCTCCCCCTGGGAAAGAAACGTGGAAAAAGGAGGAGAAAGAAGAGGAGAGAGGCAAGGGGAAAAGGAACGGCTGGGAGGTTTAATGTCCAATGCTGACGAAACCATGAAATGAGGGCGAGTGCCTCTGTGTGCTTGACGGCACGTGATGCTTTCGTAAACAGGAACAGCAGAAGCAGCAGCAGCAGCAGCGGCAACAGCGGCAGCATACCTCGTGCAGTGCCATGGTTGAGGAAGTTGACGTACTCCAGAGCCACCTTGAGACACGCCTTGAGCGCCCTGCTGTTGTGCACCTGACGCAGCACCGGGGCAGGGAAGAGGGGGGTGGGGGGGGGTGTGGGGGAGAGGTGGAGAAACACACACGAGCAGAAGGGAGGTTCCAAGGAAACGGAGCATGGGGAGAGGAGAGAGCGAGAGAGAGGGGTTCGTCAGAAAATCACCGAGGTGCAAGGAGGAGACGAGTGCCACGAGACAGGAGGGCGTGAGACGTGTCATAGCATGGAGGGGGAAAAAGGAGCGCCGGAGGACGCACTGGAATGATGCATATGTGGGGATTCGAGCGCGGACCTGCTGGCATGCTCGCGTGACAGTGGCCATGATGGTCCGTGCTTCCTTGTGCAGGTCAGCGAACCGCAGCATGAAGACGAGCACCTGGTGGCAGGCACGCAGACACACAGGCACACACAGGCACATGGATAGGCGGTGGTGAGTCGAGGAGGAGGTCGGAAGGTGAGTTGAGCAGACACCAGGAAGTGTTCTAGCAGCCAGCACTGCAATACCGAAACACAGAAAGCATGACATCTGAAGCAGCCCTGCCCTCTCATCACCATGGGTATTGGCTGACTGACGGACTCGCTGACTGTCGGACTCACTGACTGACGGACTCACTGACTGACGGACCGACTGACCGACTGACTGACTGACTGACTGACTGACTGGCTGACTGACTGACTGACTGACCTCGATCTTGTCCCTGAGACGGGGGATGGAGGCGAGGGTGAGCAGGAACTGCTCGGGCGCGCAGAGGGCGTCCACAGGGCCCGTGTAGCCCTGCAGCTGCTGCACCTCGTCATCGTTGGGGATTACCTGCAGGGGGGAAAGAGGGGAGCCGGTGGAGGAAACGGGGGAGAGAAGACTTTTGAGTCGACTCAGAAGTCATCTCGTGTAGCCCTGCAGCTGCTGCACCTCGTGGTCGTTGGGGATCACCTGGACGGGGGGGGAAGAGGGGAGCGGGTGGAGGAAACAGGGGAGAGAACCTGGGAGAGAGGGGGGGCAGAGAGAACGTTAGGAGGCGGGCGAAGCGAGCTGGAAGGACGGACGATGAGTGAGAAAACGAAGTGGGAAGAATCGAGGAAATGAAGGGGGGGAAGAGAGGGAGGGATGGAAAGGAGGGGAAGAGGTGGGAAGAGGTGGGAAGAGGTGGGAAGAGGTGGGAAGAGGTGAAAGGACGAAAACAATTCGCATCTCAATCCCTTTCGTTTACACCCGCAATTCCTTCCTCGCACGCCTCCCATTCGTCCACTCTCCCGCCACTCCCTCTCTCCCTGCCTCTCCCCGATAATTCCTCGCCCATCCCCACCTGCTGCAGGAGGTCGAGTCGTTCCAGCGACAGCACGCCCTTCTGGTTACCACCCGTGATAGCGTCGCGAATCACTCCATGCGGCATGCGACACTGCGACAGCATGATCGCCACGTTATTCGCGCGCTGCACCGGCACTATGCGAACCACCCCGTCCCCATTAGCCCCTCCGCCTCCACCCCCGCCATTCACTCCCCCCGCGCGACCCCTCCCCGATCCCGATCCACCCCCGGCATCCACGCTCCCTCCGATCTTAATCTTCGCCTCCCTGGCGCGGAAAACCACCTGCAGAGATTCCTTCGTCTTGTCATCCAATCTAAAGCGCGAGAATTCGGAATCCTTGGCAATCTCCCCCCAGATGGTTCCCGCGGTGTCGTGGACTTTGGTTGAGTGAAATCCTTTCAGCGGCACTACGGGCTTGGCGCGATTGAAGCCAGGGGCCTTGAGAGGAGGAGGAGGGGGGGCCTTGGGGGCAGGCGGCGGCGGAGGCGGAGGAGGCGGGGTGGGGGAGCAGGCGGGGGAGGAACAGGAGGCGGGGCTTCGAGAGGCTTCGGCTCCTGCTCCTCTTTGGGCGGTGGTTCCTTGTGGGGCGATCTGCAATTGCAATGGAGGGGATGACCAAGAATGAGTTGGGAAAAAGCATGTGATCTCAATGGGGTGGCTTCAACCTGCTCGACAAGACGACTGGACGGATATACCTCAGCATACTAACGGGAGCCTGGCTGACTGATTCTGTTTCGCACCTCCCAAAGATGCTGCGGAAGCATGCACAGTTCATGATCCGTAGAATTTGAGCATCCAAGCTCCAAAATCCGTCGAATGAAAGGTGGATTTGCTACCAAATCAGCAATTCGTATGAAATCACGTTCAGGCTGTCCTCGCGTGCCTGTCGCTGCCTACTCAAATGATCGGACCACTTCGCTACGACGAAAGCACGCTGGCGGGTGAGGGTGTGCCACTCAGCTAGCTACGAGATCGCTGCGTGTTTACGTCCCAAAGTATCACTTAGAGAGATGTCAGGCAAACCATGTAATCGTGACCTCCCAGCAATGTAGGGATGGATCGAGCGCATCTTCTCTATCACATCCCCTCTTGTTGGTCATAGACTACGGATGGAAACACACACTATCGATCGCTTCTGGAAGAACGAAGCAAGCGTCATAGAATGCTACGTTCTGGTTGAGCCAACAGGTTCGTCACGATCGAGGTTCAGAAGCACAGCTTGGCTGTGGTGGTTGAGCCTTCAGCACTTGGCCACAGGAGCTATGATGTGACAGTTGGGAGGAGAAGGTACAGGTGGACAGATGGGAGAAGAGGGACTCCAGACAATTGCAGAGAGAGGCATCCATCCACCGTGACTCCCCGTTGCGTCACATCAAGCAAACATTTCTGCCTAGAAATTGCGTGTGGTGCAGTTCGAATGACCCATCTGAAACCGATTGGGTAAGGCCGCGGTGTTTTCCAGGGTCGACGACAGCAAACCGACGTTATACCGCACTGGAAACCTCATGAGCCTATGAAAATATATTGGAAAACCCTGTAATCCCCGACTTTGAGGGTCCGCACGCACCGCAACCCCGTGAAACAGGTTCGTGGAAGGGATTTCCAAGATTTTGGGAGGCACTGTTTCGAATGACTGGTTGACTTTCAGGTTTGGCAGCGTAATTGTACGAACGAGCTAGTTCGGTGCGGTTTTGGCGGGAGCTACACGTGGGAGAGTCAGCCAAACCGAGACCAGGCTCCAAACCAGACCGTTGGGGTTTTGGGAAGGTCAGTCATATCGTGTCCACTTCAGACCAGCTAGCATGGCATGGTGCGTACCGATGTTATGTCGGTGCAACGTTTGCCTCGGGATTTGCTTCTGAGGCAACATCCTTATTGGCCAACTTGTGGCTCGGAGACAATTTAGCCTGCGACGAGGCCGATGTTTCCGATGTCTTGGCTTGACTAGCCGTTCCAAATGAGCCCCTCCTCAACGGCCTTCCCCTTTTACAGAGGAACCCAAGTACAGCACCAATCAATGCGAGGGATTGACGAAAAACTTTCCTTTCGTGTTTCCAATTCTTTTCAGAGTAACATATCCGCGCCCCCCTGCTTGAGCACAACCCGAATTCCTTTTTGAGGAAAAAACCAGACAGGTAGGACTCACGGGCCAACTTCGATTTCACTCACAACGTACCAGAGAGAGTATTCAATGTGGCTCACTTTTGTACTAGCGAAAAGACACGAAACAATATATCCACTCTACATGCCGATGCCTTTTCTTTCTATTTTTACGTTACAATCCAAAGTGAACAAAAACTTCATCGAATTCCTGACCCGAAAACATTTCTCTTCTCATCAGCGAGGGAACATTCTGCGCTCGAGGCAAGCCGCGAGGCAGTATTGCGGGACATCTGTTTTACGACCGAGATCGCCGATTATGAATTTTTATCATATCCACTCAGTATGGAATTTCTCGTTGATGGCGCGCCTCGTAGCTCGGCCTCAGTGGGGAACACTTCCCCTGAGTGCAGTCGAAATGCACGAGTTTCTTATGAGTGTGTTTTTTCTTTGTGCGCATGAACTATCATTTTTCTTGTACAGGCTAGGTTAACTTGCAATGCGATTTTTTTGGTACACGTAAAACGACCGCTTTTTGCACTGCACCGACCAGCGGGATCTTCGGACTCGGTGCACGAAGCGAAGGGCGTACTACAGTGATGGCGAAAGGGATAAGGTTTTTTAGCAAGGTAAGTTTTCCAAAAAAAATCCGCTCTTGAAGAATAATGGATCTGCTTAAAAACACAATGCGACGGTAGTTCTCGGGTCTAGTTGGAAGGGATGTTTTGTTCATAACACTAACTGTTCCATGGTGGTTGGTGGTTCTCGGAGTCAGCGTAATTAAAACTTCAAGCGGAATGCCCAACAACCCTGAAATTCTCCTCAGATTTCGTGTGCAACAAGTACAAATTTCAGGGCAGTTGGTGTCGCGCTAGTGGCAATGGTCTATTTACGTCTACACTGCAGTTCGCATGCGCGCCTTGGACAAATGCCATGAATTAATTTACGTCATTTTCAGTGGGAATCGCATGTCACAAATGCGTGGTTTGGGTTTGGATTCAACATAGAAATATGCTGTTAAAGCTTTGGCATGTATAGTGAACGTTATGTGCTGTGTCTTTACGCTAAAGTACAAAAGTGAGCCACATTGAATAAGCGCTCTGGTACGTTGTGAGTGGAATCGAAGTTGGCCCTAGGATTCACACTTACATAAGACTATCACACTTTTACGAAAAAAGGGGAAAAAAACCCATAGGGCCCCCGGATGCCGTCGAGGTGGCATCAACCCTAAACTCCCACCCTGTTGTGAAACTTTAGGGCTGATGCCACCCAGAACGGAATCCGAACGACATCCGGGGTCCCAATGGGTTTTGTAAGGAATTACAATTCCTTACTACGCTAAATTACAGCGCGTACACCCGAAGACCTCAACCTTGCAGGTCCGGCTTCGATTGTTGGCCCAAACCTTCCCGAGTCACGTTCCGACACCCTCGCCACCCTTCCAAGCCACCTCACTTCCCGAGGCCCTAGCACGTACGAGCCCTACTTTAGCCAGTTCGCTCGTCACTTGCTCAATCGATCATTACTCCTAGGTTATATTTCCATTACTTAGTCGATCGTTCAATTCCCACTCATAACACTTGGTATTCAAAGCCACTTTCCTCGTGCAGTAGCTTCCGCATACCCTAGAAATTTTCTTGGGGGGGGGGGGGAGGAGTGATGGCTAGTGAGCTGCGGGGCTGCACGGCGGTTGGCTCGGAGCTAATTTGTTAGCTCGTCCGACTATGGCATGTGCGCTCCCTCGTCACCAGACCCCTGCCTTTGGACGGCAAGGATTTGGTCGGGTCCTCCCTCCCCCCAGGAACGGACAGGTGTGGGTGTCACGGCATTAATTCGCCACGTGAGTTGGTGAATTATGCATTTAATTCGTTCGTTTTGTGTTGCAACACGGCGTCGTCCTCACGTAGTGGTTTGCCTACGGGCTGACGGAGCGTCCTTTCCACCTACTCACAACGGCCTCCACCTGGGAACAGTGGTAATTTATTGGGTCATTTCACCTTCCAAGTCTGTAACGGGGGTTAAAGCTGGAACTTCCTTCGTGCTGGCAAAGACTTGGGGAGCTGACCTAGAAGTGGTGTTCGTCCGAGGGGATTAGCATGGCTGCACAGCGATCACTTCGGTGATTAATGACGTGTGCGTTGGCTTCTGCTCCGTCCGGGCCACCTACATCAGCTGGAAGTAAAGGGGGGGGGGGGAGGGGGGGGTTGGGTAATTCGTGGTGCCAGAGGGGACAAGCACTGTTGCGTAGCGGTTCGCTGGGAGTTAATATTTTAGCTCCACCGACTAAAGGCGTGCGCGCTAGCTTTTGCTCTGTCCTGCCCCCGGTGAACGACGACCTGCCGAAAATTTTGGGGAAGTCGTGAAGAAATATTCGAAGTCGACACTGTTGCAGCTGGAGCTCGACACTGTATCCAAAGTTTTTGGAGTGCGGCTAAGCGGAGGGAGTTGTCCCAGATTTACACGGGCCACTACGACATGCGATAATGCTTAGGACTTGTTTGGTGTCATGGCGAGCGCAAAGATGGGTGAACTTCGGCGCGTTGCAAAAACGCCCGGTACCAGGTGGGGAATTCTTCGAAGACCAGCGGCGCAGCTGTTAAGCACATGAAGTTTGGGGGTACCTGAATAGCATTGAAGCGGGTTTGGGTAACCTGCAGCAACCGCCAGATAAGTGAACGTCTGCAAGGCCAGCTGGTCAGGGGTACCAGGGTATTTTAAAAGTTAGGTTTACAGCTGTGAGGAGATCGACGGCGTATGATGCTCACCAACCATGATCGACGGCCGAAGACCCATGCCTGGGCGGTGAACGGCGAGTACCCTTGATTGAAGGGCTCAGTTCATGTGTACAGCTGGTGACGGACCGACAGGGGTGCAGCTAAAGGACGGTGCGTCTGTGTTTACGGGTAGCTACGAAGCACGCGCAGCTGTGAAGCAGAGTTGCGACATTTTTGCTTGAAGAAACAGTGAAGCAGTTCAAGGTTTTGCAACTGGCGTGGTGCTCGCTATATCCAGGGGTACAAGCGACATCATCCGATTTTTGCGGAGTAGTTTGGCTTCATGGAGAGTGAAGGAGCAGCAGTTGTTTCGGCTCTTTCTGAAAATTTCAGCATGTATGGACAAAACAGAGCTGCAGTCGTGTGACCCTGCGTTCGGCTCGATAGTGTTTACTACATCGGGTCAGGAGAGGTCATTTTCCATTACCATCATTGTCAAATTCTCGCCAACACCCGCTACCGCCTCCATCGTCAATTTGCCTACCTTCGTTTGCTATATAGAACACGACCGCGCCATCCGCCTGGAGCAGTATCGAATCGACAAGATTAGGAGCAGTACTGTTGGAGCTGTGTTGGGGCCAGCTCGCAAGCAGTGGATTGACTCGTAAAGATTTTTTTCAGTTCGTCTGGGAGTTATTTATGGAGGAATAGTTGCTGATTTTCAGGACTTCAGAAGTGGTTTGCCCTGCATAAGAATTCAACTTTGGAGCAGATTTGGGAGTCCTGCACGTTGGAGTTTCACCGACCACTTCAAAGCTGAGTTTTACCAGCGTTTAATGTCGCAGTTGGGGTGTTTTGCGAGTACCCTGAAGTAGTGGGTTCCCTGGGAGTTTTACCTGATCTCCTGGGAGCTGTTTTCTTCTTGAGGGGGGGGGACGAGAAGTGCAGCTGCGCTGCATTTGTCCTCTATGCACTTTTTGGATTAACCTGCCCAATTCGGTCAGCCGAATAATCGTCCATCCTTCAACGGTCACGATCTACTACGATCGTTTCGACAACTTCCGACCATCCGATCATTACTCAAGATTTACGGCCACGATTATTTTTGACATTTCAAGACAAGCGTTATGATGACAAGCCTGCGGGAATGCCACGTTCTACAGTCCAAGCCATCGAGCATTATCCTACCAAATTAAAGTCATCGTCAGCCGTTCGATTTGGAGATATCCATCAGATCGACCGCGACAGTTTCGCTACCGACATTGCTGACTCGTGATAATCGCCCAACGGTCAAGACATCTCTCGACCAATTTCATCCGTCGGATTTGGCTCGCCCAAGACTCGACAGGACAGTGTAACCATTACGCTCGTCAGAAGATTTCAAGACCTAGAGTCACACTCGCGGTTGGATTATTAATCCGTCGGAGTATCACCTCTAGTGTAGGGAGGGCTTATTTAGAAGGTGAGAGAGTGTAAGGAGTT